CCCCCCCCCCCCCCCAAAAGCACCGCTGTCAGCGCGCTTTTCGGGTACCAGCAGCGTCGTGCTCCTGTTTATTTTTATTTCCTATTTTTTTGACGTCCCCCCGCCCGTAAACACGCCGCCAGCCCTCTCCTCCCCCCAGAGGCAGGGCCCCCCCGCAGCGCCCCATCTGCAGGCAGAGCGAGCTCCTGCCTTCCCTTCCCCTGCCCGTTCAGGGGGTCTGGTAGGCGAGCCCGAGGAGTGGTAAAGAAAAACAGCAAGGCAAACACATTACAAAGAAGAAAACAAGCGCTCTGTATTTCGAGAGACTGTTTAATCCAAGATAAACGTAATTTTGTTTAAATAAAATATATTAACCTGAATTAATAATACAGGAAACTAGAGTGAATTAATAATGCACGTATCCCTGGTCTCGTGGTTAAACACTTCCTTGTAAGAATACTGTATTAACCCTGTTTGGCCAAACAGCTCCCTATTTCTCAAATAACATCCAGCGATTTCAGGAGGAGCCACGTCCCCTTCCCGAGTCCACCCTCCCCTGGAGACTTTAAGCAGGATTTGCTAGCTGGACATCAAAACCCCTAGAAGAAGAAACGCTTAGGCTAAAGGAAGGTTAGCCAGCAAAATCCGGGGTAATTCCAAGCGCGAAGGTATTACGAGCCGATAATTTTTAATCCCGGAAACATACATGATATTAAATTGTGCACAAATAGGCTTTACCAGGGTCTGGCACTTTTTCCCTCGGCTGGTAATAAGTGTCAAATAATGTGGAAAGGAAGGGTGACATTGCGTTATATATGGTTTGCAAATAAGAAAGGCCTTTTTACCCTCCCCTGCCTTTTCCTCCCGACGAACAGGTGGTCTTAATCAAAGCCCTTAGCACGATCTAATGGGAAAGTGGGGACCTTTCTGATATAATAAATTTATGAGCCCTTCCACGCCAGCTTTATTCGACTAAGTATTTATAAAAGTAATATCCACATATGCTCCCTGACACGGTAACTTTTACTTCCTCTGCCGAGAAACAAATGGTTATTTTCTTAACCATCAATTATGAACCCGGATTATTGTAGTACACGCAAAATTTCCTGCCTCGTTACCGTATCAGCCCGTCTGGTTTTTACCCGTCGGGCTGCAGGGGAAATTGCTATCTAAACACCTTTTAATGCCGTTAATTAAAATATAAGTCCGAGTCGAAGAAGCAACGCGGGGTTGCCTGGGCATTGAAACCTGCCCATTTACGGGGAAGGGAAGCGCGGAACGGCCGCGGATGCGGATAGATCCCTGCAGATGTGCGGGTGGATCCCTGCAGATGTAGGGGTGACCCCTGTGTGCAGCCCCAGCCCGCGTCTCTGTGCGATGGATACTGGCAAGTCCTGAGCCGCCCCGAGCGACTCTCTGCCGATGGTTGAAATCACGGGCGTTTTCTCGTAGTTCGGGCGGGTTTTCTCGGGTCTTGGCTTTGATTTGTTATTAGTCGCGCGGTGCTCGTTGATTTTTGTCTTGCCTGACCGTCAGGACTTCGTGCTTTAGGGGATTTACCTCCTCAAAAGTCTGGTCCTTGGGGCGGGCTGGTTGAGAAGCGGGAAAGCGGAGGGGGGTTTTTTTGGGGGACCCCCTCTGTCAGAGTTCAGTTTCGGGAATTAGGTAATTTCCCGAGTTAGGCACCACCGGTGGGCACAAGGAGACTAATCGCTAACCAGCAGCATCGGTAATAATAGTAAAAAATGCGAATGTTTGGTCCAATCGATGCTCCTGTGAAAGGAGGAAACGAAATTCCGTAGGAGACCCTCCAAAACGACACGGGCGCGCTGGGTTCCCGCGGGGAAGGAGGGAGGGAGGGAGGGAGGAAGGGCCATTCCTGAAGAAACGGGTCCGTGGCCACGCTGGGGAAAGGAAAACGGGAAAATATGAAACTGTTATTGGAGCCCAGAGTGTCAAACGCAGCCCGGCGGGTGTCAGGTTTACCCGGGGAGACGGGAAAATTGCTGCTGGGTGACCAGTCCCATAAAATTAGGAAAACTTCAGCACACGCTTCGACAGCCCCACAGCACGCGTAAATGGCTGCCGGTGGGTTTGTTCGAATAATTTTGATGCAGGGCGAGAGGACGCTTGAACTTTGTGTGTGTGTGTGTAAGTGCATATATATATATATAATCTATACAATTTGTTAGCCGTCTGAATTCTACTTAAGGAATCCTTTCCTGGAATCGATAATCTGGGTATTGCCGAAACAGCAGTCCCCGACATAAACTGTTGAAATTACATTCCGCCTTATAGCGTCATTCAGCATCACAAATCGATTGTTTCAACTCTTAAAAAAAAAAAAATATTCTTTGGTCTGAATATTCCGTAACTTAACATCTCTTTTTCAAAAACAAAAACAAAAAAAAACCCAAACCCAACGCTGATTCAGCTTTCCGTCCAGATCAGCCGAAGTCCCGGCAGCGTGCAA